TTGAAGAAACGTCTGATTCAACCGAGCAAAACTCTTTTTAAACGAAATTATTTTGTCTGATGAATTAAAATATGTCTACCACAAGGTGAAAATGTCCATTGTGCTTTTTCTTTTCGAGATGCAGGGACAATATAATCAATAGACATTTCCTTTGCATTGTATCTTTGATCAGCAAATGTAGGAGCTTTCATTCTTAGCATTAAAGAAATATCTGTTTCAGTCGTCTGAAGATTTTCTCAATTAAATCTGTGTTATAGTCGATGTTAGTCATTAATCTGGAAATAAATTCATTTGATACCGGGCTGGTTGCTGAAATTGAAAAAGAACCCCTAAATAACCCCTTAAAACGGTAGTTTCGTGATTTGCCTTTTTGTTTGTTTGTTTGTTGTTCTTTTTGCTACTATGCTCACTCCTAAATACGCTGCAGAATTCAGAAGAGCGATAAATACGTAACCCTTTTCGTATGAAGCTAGTTACATAATATAATGCTAAGGTTTCCACTTGCAATATTTCCGGATTTTATGATCCCGCTGCGTAGATTTTGGGAAAGTTCTAATGCATTTCCGACCACCCGTTTCACCTTCGACGACGTTATTTGCAGCTGCATGGCGCTTTCGCACCAAGCTGGCCATTGCCTCGGCTATAATCTTTTCCCATATGTTTACCACCAGATAATAGGCGGCGTAAATACTGAATGAAGTTGGTTTACCACTGCCCTCATAGCAATTTGGTAGCTTTGAAAACCTGGAACTTCTTTTAGCGTCATGTTGTAATCAAAGTAGAATTCTAGGTTTATTTCTGAGCAATTTAAGATTTCAAAAATGTGCCAAACAGACCTCTCAAGATTTTGCAGCAGAGAAATTTACGTAAATAAAAAACCCTCTGAAAACTGAGTTTTGCTTCCGCTTTTTTATTATTTCAAGGATCACGTGGTTTTCAAGGGGTATGAATGGGGATCATTCGTCGCTAACAGATTATAAAGGATCAAGGACTAAAGAGAGTTTAGGTAACATTGCATAGCATTCTATTGACTAGAGAACCTTAGGGGCGGTTCAGGTGAATTTTCAATGTGATACAGCCAAATCCTCCGATTGACCTCCCCAACCTCCCCTACCCAGGCTATGAATAATGATTGGTCCCTTATCGATCTAAGTACACAATACTGCCTCACCATGTTCACTTTGTGTTTGTTCTATCGCCTTCAGTACCATCTCGGTCTCGTTTGTCGATCAAAACATCGCATGATAGTGATCTTCGCAGTTATGAACATTACTTATGCAGTAGTGGAAATAAGACTTGGAAAATATCCGCAGCTCACATATATGATTTTCATATATTCGCAGTCATCCCTTCAAGGGTTTATTAGGAACTACCATTTCAAATAGCTCCCAGTTGGTTGGTTAACTCAGTTGGTAGTAATGTTACGTAATTATGTCGAGTAATTTGTTAGGTTTTGTCGACTTTTAAGAAGCAGCGTCGTCGTCTTTGTTTTTGTTTTTTTTTTAGGGTAAGGTTTTAAGGTAAATTTTCTTCTTTACAGTGAGTTTATTTGCGAGTTTTCGTATGTATTTTTCTAATCTTATTTAGTAACGTAGACAAGTGGATGTTTTAAGATAAACGATGAACACAATTACGCGTGACTTCAGTTACAGGTTCAAATCCCGTCTTTTTTGTTGTTGTTGTTGTTGTTGTTTTGCTTTTGTTTTGTTTTGTTTTGTTTTTTTTAATTTCACAACTGCCTAAGTAGTGTTCATTAGTGCGAAGATCGCTTTCATATTCATTTCTAAACCCACAGTTCACATACATGATTTTCATGTATTCACAATCATTTATTCATCACTTCACGGGTTTATTACACACCAACATAATGACCAACTCCCAGTTAGCTTGTTAGCTCAGTTGGTAGAGCACTGTATTGATGTCGCGGAGTTTATATGTTCAAATCCCATACAGAAAATGGCTTGAACTCGGGGCAGCATTTGATCCTGTAGTCTGATCGGTTGGCTGGTTTTTTTTTTTTTTATTTGATTTCAAATTACCATTACTATGGTTATGTCATGCGCCAATTTCCTAGAGATGAGTCGCGTTGCTTTTTGATCTTCGGCCTGTAAGTCGAGCTTTCTTTCCTAAAGTAACCACAACTGAAATTTTCAATACAACAGAGGAATCGAGGCAGGTGTGTTGCCACAACCTCCACTCTATCGCAGGTTGAACAGTCCACCAGGTTGAGTGGGGAAGAGGTTTTACTTTCGGTAGCAGTGGTCAACTCATAGCAGCTTGGTTAGGCCGGAAACAGAAGGTGAGTGTGAATCGCTCCAGGTGAGCTTTCTTCGTCACTCACAAAATAAGTGGTAAAAACCATGTGTCCCACAACTGATGCCACCATGTACCAATATGCTATTCTATAGAAACAAGTCACACACTCACACTGAGATCCGTTTTGAAAGGTTGCGAAGCCTTTGAACAGGAGTGAGGCTAAGGGTGACCTTGTTGTGATACAAACTTTGCTGCTCTTCAAATGAAAATAGCTTTGTTATCATGCTAACGAGATACTGGTCTCTACCACAACATGGTCAACTTCAGTCTCACTCTAAGTCAAAGGCTTGGCAACCAAGTACACAATTGTAAAATGTCCTATTAAAAATACGTGATATAAAATTCGCGTATTGTTTGAGCCTCAATTAATCGAGATCGGAATTCCATTTTATGAGTCGACATTTTTGTTTTTCACGTCAAATTCCGCTTGTAGTTCAGTTGAGCGGTGGTAGATTCAGTTATTTATCACCTCACGCTGATTAAAAAACAGAGAGGCATTGACTGTATTTAAACCGCGTTGAGTTTAGCGATATAGTCCTTAGCCATGACTTAATATTTTCTTTAAGTACTCCCTCAGGTGCCAGTTAGCCGGTTTTCTGATGTAAAGTACTTGTGTGGTTACTCAGAGAAAATACCCAAATTGCGTGGAAACGGTGAAACAGTCATGTAAAATAAAAGCGAGCATCTTAAATTACCATCTTAAAATAGCTTACCTAACAGAATAGTTAGCGATAGACGCGTTAGTCCTTCGTCTATCACTCTGACGAAGGGCTAACGCTCGAAGCTTTTAGACCCTTTACGGGGGCGATTTTATGTTATCGACTCAGTTTATAAAACTAAATTACCATGTTATACTCCTCCACCGACGCAGCACCAAATCTTCTTTAGAAACTTACCCCCTTTATTCATTTACCTTACTGAAGTCATTTAAATGACGTATACCGGGCTAGATATTACCACATTCCAAATAAATTGTCGTTGCATGATTTCTTGCTAAGATCTATGACAAAAATATCTTGCAACAGCATGGCTGATTGGAAAAAGCATGAGCGGGACGCTTTAAAGGACTCGAGTAGCTTTTTGTTATTCTTAAAAAAAGAGAAAAAAAATTGTGAACTTGTTTCCTTCTTCAATAACTTCCCGTGAATTTTTAATATCTGTGTGATAACCTGCTTTCTGGAGTCTGCGTCTTGATCTGAAGAAAGTTTTAAAGCGTGCAGAACCTCACAAGACAAGCTGCACGTTTTTAGTTATAGAGCAAGTGTGGAAAATATCCCAACATTTCTGTAAAAAGTAGAGAATACATTCCTCAGGAATGACACAGTTATTTTCTCTTTCATAGCCATTGAAGGATGATCGTGCCATGGCAATGAGTCGATTCATCTGGAAAATATCTTAAACTCCGATTTTCAACAGAGAGAGAGTCAGTTTAGCAAAGCGCAAATGAAAAATAACCGTTTTCAATATGGACCACTCTTACACGTCGTTAAATAAAAACCATATGGCAAATGGAAAAATGCTTTGTTTAATGGGAGTGCCAGCATATTTTAGGTTTGAGATCGAAAGATAGCATTATAGTTTCATTCATTCATGCGAACTTGGATCGCTATTTACATGTTGGCGCCACTATTTCACGTTTTCAAAAGCCATCATAACATCCCGATGAGCGAGGCCTTTTTAAGGGTCTTTCAGTTATCATCAGAAAAAGACACACTCTAAGTCCAGGTGTACATTCAGTTGTGTTCGATTCTAAATGCACTTGGATTCCTGAAAGCCCCCGCAGTTAATGCTTGCAAAAATTAATCCACAGGATTAACAATAACTACTAAGATAATCAGAAAAATGCGACGATAGTTGAACGATCTTCCCGGCAAATTGAGTAATGAGTCATTTCTATTTACACCCTTGGTTTGTCCATTAGTTCTTTAACCTAAAAGCAATTGGAAGATCTCTGTGGCAGCTCCGATGACATAAGCAACAATATTGAGACATCTCTGATCAAGTCTAATGTAGAAAACTGTAGATAGGAGTTTGTTCATTTTCTACTGATTTCTTGATTTTTTTCTTTTTCTTTTCCTAACATTCATTAAAGTTAATTGTTTTGAGCTCTAAAGACCCATCAACACGGCTTCCATTAAAAAAAAAAAATTGAGAAATTTCAACAGGAAGTTTTTATTTAAGCTGCAAATAGTAATCACGAATGCATACACACCTAATTGCAATGAGTGTCATATGAAAATGAAACGTGACCTAAAATGGCCAAACAACAATGCGTTTCAAAGGTGTCTGCCAAGAAACCCGTTCAGGATAAAATTGATCAAAAAAAGAAAACAACTGATAGCTTTGAAAATTATCGCAGTTCTACGATTTGATACAAAGGCAAAGGCATATTTTCTCTTTTTCTCTATTAAAACCTTTAGCGAACCTCTAAACGACAGGTGTGTAACAATTTATTGCTTTGAAAGTCTTTATTCCTCCCCATAATCTTATTTTTTTTAGCATAAAAGGAATGAATTTAACTAAAGTCCCTTAAAGATAAAAGATCGCATGATTTCTTTGTTATAAAGACATAGTTAATTAAAGGTAATGGTTCTTTAGCTTGCGTTGTACCAATTTAATTTTTTATTGCTTCGTTTACAGTTTCACCAGGAATATTCTAACCGCTTTCTAATTTGCTCAGTACACTTGTTCGCACGCGTTGTTGACTTATCATCATCCTTTTAGGAAGTTGCCTGTTTATATCGGCTGAGTACAATCCACAGGGAAAAGCAAAGAAGGAAACTGAACCTACAATTATGGCACCCAATTTCATTTGCTTGATCTGCGTATTTCTTGTCTTGATGTCATTTTCAACCGATTCTGACGCCACCATCATTAGTGGTCCATCGCTTTGCCCCAAAAACGGTTGTGGACGAAGGAGGAGATCAAATGCAGGAGTAAGTATCATGACCAAGTTTTGAAAGGTGAAAATTCCTAAATTAACTATGAGTTACCAGAATTTATTTTGCCTTTAAATAAATTTTGCCCTTTAAATCCGAATTTTCAGAAGAAGAAAAAAAGAAAGCTCGATTCTTAATAGACATTTTCAGTGAACAATGCAAATATGGTTGGTCTAATTATTTTCATGAAGGTTTTTCATCTCATCGGGAACAATAGCCCGTGATATAGCTAAAGTCGTTGGAAAAGTCAGTTATTAAGGAGGTCGAGGGCTCTTAAAGCTGTGGCATAAGGAATGTTTCTTGCATCAAAGAAAGAAAAGTCTCCTATTTCTTACAACTTGATTATCGTAACTGATCTCTTTATTGTCGTTCCTTTTTTCGCCACTTGCGCTCATTACCTTCTTTCACGAATGTTTTTGTTGTTGTTTTTTTTTTCCCATAGAGAAATGAGCGAATTCTTCTCTCTAAGCGCCGGTTGTGTGACGTCGCCGAACGTATGGGTTGCCGAACTGTGATGCGAGACCGATAGAATTTAAAGTTGTCGACCAAAGTGTGAACCATAAATGTTCAAAGTTTAAAGAATGCGTTGTAAACTAAACAAAACTCATTAAAATCTTGAATCTGTACTCACTGTTAATTTAGCAATGCCAATTTTTCATATGAATTAACTTTTATATGGCTAGTATAGGTTGAAAGGAATACGTTTTTAAGGAATAAGAATCGAACTCAATTGAATGTACACCTGGACGTGAGCACCGTAATAATGACCCCATTTCAACTTCAAGTTCATGAGAAGCATTCCTCTTTCCTTATCCCAACCCCTCCCCATTGCTTCCTCCTTGATAAAAAAAAAAAACCTTAGATAGTTGCTTTGTATGTATTGTATTTGACTGGGTAACGCTTCAGTAAAAAATACACTTTCATCGTAAGCTTTCATTCAATAGAAAGACACGAAAAAAAAATGCTCGGATATTACAAGAAACAAGCGACAAGGGCAAGCGATTGGCTAACTTCGCTCAAAATAAAGTGTAAGTGCACATGTATTTTATTTGCTTACACAGTGTCAGTTTTCAGCAGATCTAACTGTGAACGCAATTTACATTAACTCAAAGGTGCGTTACCGAAAAGCAACTGGACCACATTTGAAGTTCGCGATAATACTATGGGTTCGGGCATATAGGAACTAGTCCTCGGTCTGAAATTCGAAAGCTTCAGGATCATGACAAAGTCTTCGACCTATATATAACTCGGCTCGGCCCGCTTCTTCATCTTTGGCCTCCTTTGAATGAAGAAAAGCAAACAGGATAATCGTCAGTCTTCAACAAAAGTATTAAATTCTATCAATTGGAAAAAAATTAAAATGATCCTGCCGCTTACCACCACCCCATTAAAATTCCTAATTACCTGAAAGAATACAGCTAATTATCCCTACAGAACTTTAATAGAAATCTACCATATTTCGTCAGTTCAAATTCCTTGTACAGAAACCTGCATTAAGCAGCACGGTATTTAACGGTCACCCTGTATTAAGTGGCCGGTCGTCAAAGTCCAGATATTTGGTTTCCCCTTTATCATTGTCATTTTCACCTCTATTAAGCGATCATATTCACCCTTTACTGAGTCCCAACAGCCAGGTTTTTTTTGTCCTCCACCTGTGTTGAACGGTAGATGAAAGCGGGACCACTCCAAAAAACCGTTTAAGTAATTTTAAATCCACTTTTCTACCCCAAAATAAAAGAAGGTGGTGTTGTCGAGCAAGATTCTATACATTAAATGGTCAATTATGACATAAACTTTTGTAAATCGGTTTTTATAATACCCCGCCTCTTTGGAACCTGCATTTAGCGGTCGCTGTCGACCTGTATTCCCCGCTTAATACAATTTCGACTGTAAAAAAATCAGGAGATGAAATATACGATATTTGCCGGCTGGGAGGTCCGTATGGTGAAAAACTGTGATCGAGGTCTTGAAAATACTGCCTGAGGTCGTGTGGAAAACTGTGATCTGACGAAATATGGTAGATTTCTATTAAAGTTCTGTAGGGATAATTAGCTGTATTCTTTCAGGTCGTGGACCGAGGGCAGCATTTTCAAGACCGAGGTCTCAGTTTTTCACCATACGGACCGACCCTTAGCCGGTAAATAAGATTTTTATTGTTTTTAAACTTGATTAAATTCTTTCCGAAAGAACCTGAATGATTTAGGGCTGTAAATACGGCAAGATCTTCCATAAACTGAAAAATTTTTGAGCAAGTAAATGGTAGTTAAAATAGAGGTGATGCAAATTAAAGAGAGATGCTTCACCGAAACATTTTCATTTGCGTAAGAATAAAGGTGATTTAATAGGTTTTCAAACAAGCTTTGAAACATTATTTTTACAAGTATCTGTCACAATCTGACACCTGTCAATAAGAGAGCGCGTAAGAAAAAAAAACGCAAGAACATCTGAAAAACAACGGAACTAGTTTTGCGAGGTCTGTCACAACAATGAACGGAAAGTATTATTCACTCTCATCGACGATTCATTCATTTCAGAAGATTTACCTCAGTTCATTAAGTAAACGGCGAGGAAAGTAATTGTGAGTAAATTCAATTTTTTTATTTTGAAGTTGAGAGTTTGCTCGTTTGTTTGCTGCAATGGCGTGTGTAGATCTGGTCTTCCTCCACAAAAACTAAATTCGAATGGCACACTCCAACGAGACGCAAGGGGATTTAATGCGGCCTTTTCTCAATAAATTCCTTCAGTTTCTGTTGTGCAATTTTTGGTACAAGTGTCCAAATTGAACGGACTCAGAAAGACTCACCGAAAGCTTATATTTGTTGTAGAAATGAATTTAAAACTTCGCTTGCTCTTTCACTACGAACAAATTGTTTGAGAAAATTCAGATATCAAATGAATGAAAGTTCCATCGTTCAGTTTAACTGTAACCAAATACCTCACGTTTTAACTTTCTAGGTACTTTTTGTGAACGATTAAAATTAATTGCAGACGGTTTTTAGGCCGCTTGTCAACCAACGTAATGACACTATTGCTTATACAAATTCATTCTGAAACCAATATTTTTCTGTCCACCAAAGTGATTTGAGAGAGAGAAAAGAGAGGATTCATAAGTTATTTATCGGCCTGAAGTAGTGACCGACGTGTTTGCTTGAAAATACTGCCCAGCCGGAAAAACGAGATATATTTATGAAAAATGGCAACGAAATTTGGGATGTACTCGGCGATTCACGAAAGCGTTACCGTGGCCCGTGGGCATAGATAGGAAAATACTGACCGGGTAAAGAACCAATCAGATTGCAGGATTCGTTACCGTGCCCTCTAAATAGAAATAATCTCCACTATTTGACGTTGATTCCATCTAGCTGTTAAAGGAATATTTTCTTCATTTCTTTCTCTGACAGAAGTGCTGTTACTTTTTCCAATATCAATCAATACATGGCTTTGGTTTGAATGACTTTCATTCCTAACTGGAGTATTAAAAAGTGTCTCTCGTTCGTTCCGCGGCTATGTCAAAGTAATTATTATTAATCTTGCAACTCTTGATACATCGTTTTAATTTCAGCTTCGTTTTTCTGTTTTAAATTTCATCTTAAACGTTACATTACCTTGCTATCATTTTTGTTACAGAAATTTTGTAAGTCTTGATTGCTGTTTTTTTTTTTTGAACATTTTGGGTTTTTCAAGTTCAACTTGATGAATAAATCTTTTTTTGACAAAGGCTGAATAAATGGACATTCTAAATTAAAGGTTTTTAAAATTTTTTGATTAGTTGTTAATTTAAGAAATCATACCAGCTTGTTTCTTAAATTCTTTCTTCCACTTCTACGTCTATGATACGGCCATTTAGCAGTTTCTGCCTCGGTGTGTGTGAGGCACTGAAAGGTAATCACAAGACCTAAGATTAACAGTAACGTGCTCAATCTACTGTACATGATTGCTAATCGATCCTACTTAATGATCGAGTCCGTTTTATTGGCTTGGTACAGGGCACAGACAATGCATCTGTTCAAGAGTCCCATCGGATCTTAAACTAATGGAAGGGAGATTAAATATTTGCATTTCAAGTTGTAAAGACATCATCCACAATTTTTGCCATTTCTTGCTGTCGTTCACTGTCAGGAACGCGAGAAAAACAAACTGCAGAGAATATCGTAACATCTGTTCTATAACGTACTCCAGATGCATGTACGTAAATTGCTTCATTTTCCTGAGGCTTCAAAATGGAAAGTAAAAACAATGCTGGGAGAGATTTAAAACCAAATTTAAAAAAACAAAATAAAACAAAAACCGAAAAAAATATCCTATGGTAAAAGGTCATTTCGCCTTAAAAGTTGTAAAAGTGATATTTCACTGTGTCAATCTGTTAAACTTATCACACATTATAATAGTCCTCAAAGAGCGAATGCATAGAAAGGCGATAAGCAAAATGAATAACTGTCAGTGTAAGTTTTATCTTCCATGAAGTATGTTGCATTTTCATAATGGGGACAATTTTCTAACCAAGTTTTTCTTACTTAAGCAAAATGTTAATAACATAATCCTGGTTAATAATTCTTCTACGAAACAACCAAGAATGTGAAAGCTAACTAGCTGGCGGTAGTAACTTCCGAACACAAGAAAGGCAACTGCAAATAATGTGGCAAACTGACGTCTTTTAAAAAAGCTTTTATCTGCCTTGGATCCAAATTTGATCCAAATTTTACCTAAATTGCAATTGTACTTAAAAGGTGCTACATGCAGATGAAACATAAGTAGATTTAAAGGGTCAATAATTGTGTCGGTCTCTACGTCCCACAAATGGACTTTTGGCACATTTCCGAAATTGTCAAGGAAAACATCCTCGCTAAAGCTCATAGAGCGGAAAAGAAAAAACTAAATTCGAGTTCAAATGAATAAATGTAGGGTAGCATCTTTTCTTAATAACGGGAAGAGCTGCACTCTACTTGCCGGATGCAGGTGCCCCAAAAAACTACGACGTTTCGACTTTTATCGCGTTAGCTCAGGTGCTCGGTCAGAAGGGGAATTTGGTTGAAGTTTAATGGATTGAACCAAAAAGGAAGGAATACGTCTTAGCGTTAGCACTGTAATAATGAACACGCTTTCAACTTCAAGTTCATGTGAAGCATTCCTCTTTTTTATCCCAAACCCTTCTCCTTGCTTTCTCCCTAATAAAAAACTGTTAGATGGTTGCTTTAAAGTTATTTCTTTTGACTGGGTAACGCTCCAGTAAAAAATATGCTTTTTAGTCATCGTAAGCTTTCATCCATTGGAAACAAAAGAAAAAAAAAAGATGTTCAGATATAACAAGGAAAAAGCGACAAAGGGCAAGTGATTGGTTAACTACATTGAAAATAAAGTGCGAGCCAAATTACATGCACATATATTTTATTTGCTTACACAATGTCAATTTTTGACAGATCTAACTGTGAATGCAGTTTACTTTAAGTCAAAGGCGCGTTACCAAAAAACAATTGAACTTCATTTGAAGTTCACGATAATTCTGTGTTCTTGTATAGAGGAACTAGCCCTCACTCTCACATTCGAAAGCTTCAAGATCACGACAAAGTCTTTTACCTATGTATAACCCGGCTCGGCCCGCTTCTTCATCTTTGGCCTCCTTTGAATAAAGAAAAGCAAATAGAATAATTATCAGTTTACAGCAAAAATATTATATTCCATCCATTGGAAAAAAATTAAAATGGTCCTACTGCTTACCACCACCCAATTAAAATTCCTAATTACCTGAAAGAATACAGCTAATTATCCCTACAGAACTTTAATAGAAATCTACCATATTTCGTCAGTTCAATTTCCTTGTACAGAAACCTTAATTACAGAAAAGAACTTTGAAGTAATTTTAAATCTTTTTTTTCTCTGTTGTCGAGCAAGATTCTTTACATTAAGTGGTCGATTATGGCATAGAGTTTTTTCATTCAGCTTTTATAAAACCTCTTATCTTTGGAACCTGCATTTCGCGGTCTATCTGTATTCCCCGCCCATACGGTTTCGACTGTAAAAAGCCATTCCATCTTGCTGTCAAAAGAATGTTTTCTTTGTTTCTTTTTTTTTAGTCCGAGTACTTTTTTTTTAATACCAATCAATACATTGCTTTGTTTTGAATAACTTTTATTCCTAACTGGAGCATTAAAAAGTGTTTCTCATACGTTCTGCGGCTCTGATAAAGTAATTATTAATTATTAATCTTGCAATACTTGATACGTATCTTGCAACACTCGATACATCGTTTGAATTTCAGCCTCGATTTTCGGTTTTAAATTTTCCATTATAAACGTTAAATTACCTTGCTATCATTTTTGTTATAGAAGTCTTGACTGCCTTTTTTTCGTCCTGAACATTTTGGGTTTTTCAAGTTCAACTTGATGAATAAACCTCTTTGTGACAAAAAGCTGAATAAATAGACATTCTAAATGAAAGGTTTTTTAAATTTTTTGCTTAGTCATTAATTTAAGAAATCATACCAGCTTGTTTCCCAAACTCTTTTTTCCAGTTTTAAGTCTAAGATGCGTCCATTTAGCATTTATTGCCTCGGTGTATGCGAGGTACTGGAAGGTGATTAGAAGACCCAACACTAACAGTATCGTGCTTAATCTGCTGTACATGGCTGCTCATCGATCCCACTTATTGAACCAGAAGATCGAGTCCGTTTTATTGGCTTGATGCAGCGCACAGACAAAACATCTATTCAAGAGTCCCATTGGATCTTAAACTAATGGAGGGGAGGTTAAATATTTGCATTTCAAGCTGTAAACACATCATCCACAGTTTTTGCCATTCCTTACTGTCGTTTGCTGTCAAGAATGTGAGAAAAACAAACTGCAGAGAATAGCTTAACATCTGTTCTATAACGTACTCAAGATACATGCACGAAGTAATGAAAAGCAAGCTACAATGCTGGCAGAGATTTAGGGCCAAATATAAAAAACAAAACAAAACAAAACGAAAACCAATTTCCGAAACTGTCAAGGAAAACATCCTCGCTAAAGCTCATAGAACGGAAAAGAAAAAACTAAATTCGAGTTCAAATGAATGAATGTAGAGTAGCGGCTTTTCTTAATTTTCGATTGGAAAAAATTAAAATGGTCCTACCGCTTACCACCACCCAATCAAAATTCCTAATTACCTGAAAGAATACAGCTAATTATCCCTACAGAACTTTAAAAGAAATCTACCATATTTCGTCAGTTCAGTTCTGTTCCTTGTACAGAAACCCGCATTAAGCAGTACGGTATTTAGCGGTCACCCTGTTTTTTGTGATCGGTCGTCAAAGTCCAGATATTTTGTTTTTCCTTAGTCATTGTCATTTTCACCTCCATTAACCGGTCATATTGTCATATTCACCCTTTACTAAGTCCCAACAGCCGGGTTTTTTTTGCTCTCAACCTGTATTGATGGTAGATGAAAGCGGGACCACTCCAAAAAAACTTTGAAGTAATTTTAAATCCATTTTTCTCTGTTGTTGAGCAAGATTCTGTACATTAAGTGGTCAATTATGGCATAGAGTTTTGTAAATCAGCTTTTATAAAACCCCTTATCTTTGGAACCTGCATTTCGCGGTCTACCTGTATTTTCCGCTTCATACAGTTTCGACTGTAAAAAGCCATTCCATTTAGCTGTTAAAAGAATGTTTTCTTTTTTTCTTTTTCCTTGTTTTTTTTTGTCCAAGTGCTGTTACTATTTTAATATCAATCAATACATTGCTTTGATTTGAATGACTTTTTTTCCTAACTGGAGCATTAAAAAGTGTATCTCATACGTTCTGCGGCTCTGATTAAGTAATCATTATTAATCTTGCAATACTTGATACGTATCTTGCAACACTTGATACATCGTTTGAATTTCAGCTTCGATTTTCTGTTTTAAATTTTCCATTATAAACATTAAATTACTTTGCTATCAGTTTTGTTATAGAAGTTTTGTAAGTCTTGACTACTGTTTTTTCGTCTTGAACATTTTGGGTTTTACAAATTCAACTTGGTGAAAAAATCTCTTTGTGACAAAGGCTGAATAAATAGACATTCTAAATGAAAGGTTTTTTAAATTTTTTGCTTAGTCATTAATTTAAGAAATCATACCAGCTTGTTTCTCAAACTCTTTTTTCCACTTTTACGTCTACGAAGCGGCCATTTAGCAGTTACTGCCTCGGTATATGCGAGGCACTGGAAGGTGACTACAAGACCCAACACTAACAGCATCGTGCTCAATCTACTGTACATGGTTGTTCATCGATCCCACTCATTGAACCAGAAGATCGAGTCCGTTTTATAGGCTTGATACAAGGCACAGACAATGCATCTGTTCAAGAGTCCCATCGGATCTTAAACTAATGGAGGGGAGGTTAAATATTTGCATTTCAAGCTATAAACACATCATCCACAATTTTTGCCATTTCTTGCTGTCGTTCACTGTCAGAGAACGTGAGAAAAACAAACTGCAGAGAATAGCTTAACATCTGTTCTATAACGTACTCAAGATACATCCACGAAGTAATGAAAAGCAAGCTACAATGCTGGCAGAGATTTAAGGCCAAATATAAAAAACAAAACAAAACAAAACGAAAACCAATTTCCGATACTGTCAAGGAAAACATCCTCGCTAAAGCTCATAGAGCGGAAAAGAAAAAACTAAATTTGAGTTCAAATGAATAAATGTAAGGTAGCATCTTTTCCTAATAAAGGGAAGAGCTGCTCTCCACTTGCCGGATGCAGATGCCCCAAAAACCACGACGTTTCGACTTTTATCGTGTTAGCTCAGGTGCTCGGTCAGAAGGGGAATTTGGTTGAAGTTTAATGGGTTGAACCAAAAAGGAAGGAATACGTCTTAGCGTTAGCACTGTAATAATGAACACGCTTTCAACTTCAAGTTCATGAGAAGCATTCCTCTTTTTTATCCCAAACCCTTCTCCTTGCTTTCTCCCTCATAAAAAACTGTTAGATGGTTGCTTTAAAGTTATTTCTTTTGACTGGGTAACGCTCCAGTAAAAATATGCTTTTGTAGTCATCGTAAGCTTTCATCCAATGGAAACACAAGAAAAAAAGAGATGTTCAGATATAACAAGGAAATAGCGACAAAGGGCAAGTGATTGGTTAACTACATTGAAAATTAAGTGCGAGCCAAATTACATGCATATATATTTTATTTGCTTACACAATGTCAATTTTTGACAGATCTAACTGTGAATGCAGTTTACTTTAAGTCAAAGGCGCGTCACCAAAAAACAATTGAACTTCATTTGAAGTTCACGATAGTTCTATGTGTTCTCGTATAGAGGAACTAGCCCTCACTCTCACATTCGAAAGCTTCAGGATCACGACAAAGTCTTCGACCTATGTATAACCCTATATAACCCGGCTCGGCCCGCTTCTTCATCTTTGGCCTCCTTTGAATAAAAAAAAGCAAATAGAATAACAATCCGTCTACAGCAAAAATATTATATTCCATCCATTGGAAAAAAATTAAAATGGTCCTACTGCTTACCACCACCCAATTAAAATTCCTAATTACCTGAAAGAATACAGCTAATTATCCCTACAGAACTTTAATAGAAATCTACCATATTTCGTCAGTTCAGTTCTGTTCCTTGTACAGAAACCTGCATTAAGCAGTACGGTATTTAGCGGTCACCCTGTTTTTAGTGGACGGTCGTCAAAGTCCAGATATTTTGTTTTCCCTCAGTCATTGTCATTTTCACCTCAATTAACCGGTCATATTCACCCTTTACTGAGTCCCGACAGCCGGGTTTTTTTCGCTCTCAACCTGTATTGACGGTAGATGAAAGCGGGACCACTCCAAAAAGACTTTGAAGTAATTCTAAATCCATTTTTCTTTGTTGTCGAGAAAGATTCTGTACATTAAGTGGTCAATGATGGCATAGAGTTTTGTAAATCATTTTTTATAAAACCTGTTATCGTTGGAACCTGCATTTCGCGGTCTACCTGTATTTCCCGCTTCATACAGTTTCGAAAGTAAAAAGCCATTCCATCTAGCTGTTAAAAGAATGTTTTCTTTTTTTCTTTTTTTTTTTTTGTCCGAGTACTGTTACTTTTTTAATAACAATCAATACACTGCTTTTATTTGAATGACTTTTTTTCCTAACTGAAGTATTACTACAGGTGTTCGCTGTCAGAGAACGTGAGAAAAATAAATTGCAGAGAATACCGTAACATCTGTTCTATAACGTACTCAAGATACATCCACGAAGTAATGAAAAGCAAGCTACAATGCTGGCAGAGATTTAGGGCCAAATATAAAAAACAAAACAAAACAAAACCAATTTCCGAAACTGTCAAGGAAAACACTCTCGCTAAAGCTCATAGAGCGGAAAAGAAAAAACTAGATTTGAGTTCAAATGAATAAATGTAAGGTAGCATCTTTTCTTAATAACGGGAAGAGCTGCACTCTACTTGCCGGATGCAGGTGCCCCAAAAAACTACGGCGTCTCGACTTTTATCGGGCTAGCTCAGGTGCTCGGTCAGAAGGGAAATTTGGTTGAAGTTTAATGGGTTGAACCAAAAAGGAAGGAATACGTCTTAGCGCCAGCACCGTAATAATGAACACGCTTTCAACTTCAAGTTCATGAGAAGCATTCCTCTTTTTTATCCCAAACCCTTCTCCTTGCTTTCTCCCTGATAAAAAAAACTGTTAGATAGTTGCTTTATAGTTATTTCTTTTGACTGGGTAACGCTCCAGTAAAAATATGCTTTGTAGTCATCGTAAGCTTTCATCCAGTGGAAATACAAGAAAAAAAAATATTCAGATATAACAAGGAAAAAGCGACAAAGGGCAAGTGATTGGTTAACTACATTGAAAATTAAGTGCGGGCCAAATTACATGCACATATATTTTATTTGCTTACACGATGTCAATTTTTGACAGATCTAACTGTGAACGCAGTTTACTTTAAGTCAAAGGCGCTTTACCGAAAACAACTGAAGTTCATGATAGTTCTATGTGTTCTTGTATAGAGGAACTAGCCATCACTCTCACATTCGAAAGCTTCAGAATCACGACAAAGTCTTCGACCTATATATAACCCGGCTCGGCCCGCTTCTTCATCTTTGGCCTCCTTTGAATTAAGAAAAACAAATAAAATAATTATCAGTCTACAGCAAAAATATTATATTCCATCGATTGGAAAAGAATTAAAATGGTCCTACCGCTTATCACCACCCAATTAAAATTCCTAATTACCTGAAAGAATACAGCTAATTATCCCTACAGAACTATAATAGAAATCTACCATATTTCGTCAGTTTAGTTCTGTTTCTTGTACAGAAACCTGCATTAAGCAGTACGGTATTTAATGGTCAACCTGTATATAGTGGCCGGTCGTCAAAGTCCAGAGTCCCAAAAGCCGGGGTTTTTTTTGTGCTCTCAACCTGTATAGACGGTAGATGAAAGCGGAACCACTCCAAAAAAAATTTTGAAGTAATTTTAAATCCATTTTTCTCTGTTGTCGAGCAAGATTCTTTTCATTAAATGGTCAATTATGGCATAGAGTTTTGTTAATCAGTTTTTATAATAAATCTAATATTTGGAATCTACATTTCGCGGTCAACCTGTATTCCCCGCCTCATACAGTTTCGACTGTAAAAAGCCATTCCGTCTAGCTGTTAAAAGAATGTTTTCTTTTTTTCGTTTTTTTTGTCCGAGTGCTGTTACGTTTTCCAATATCAATCATTACATTGCTTTGGTTTGAATGACTTTTATTCCTAATTGGAGCATTAAAAAGTGTTTCTCGTACGTTCTGCGGCTCTGATAAAGTAATTATTATTAATCTTGTAATACTTGATACGTATCTTGCAACACTTGGTACATCGTTTGAATTTCAGCTCCGATTTTCTGTTTTAAATTCTCCATGATAAGCGTTAAATTACCTTGCTATCATTTTTGTTATAGAAGTTTTGTAAGTCTTGACTGCCGTTTTTTCGTCTTGAACATTTTGGGTTTTTCAAGTTCAACTTGATGAATAAATCTCTTTGTGACAAAGGCTGAATAAATAGACATTCTAAATGAAAGGTTTTTTAAATTTTTTGCTTAGTCATTAATTTAAGAAATCATACCAGCTTGTTTCTCAAACTCTTTTTTCCACTTTTACGTCTACGAAGCGGCCATTTAGCAGTTAATGCCTCGGTATATACGAGGCACTGGAAGGTGATTACAAGACCCAACACTAACAGTATCGTGCTCAATCTACTGTACATGGTTGTTCATCGATCCCACTCATTGAACCAGAAGATCGAGCCCGTTTTATTGGCTTGATTCGGGGCACAGACAATGCATCTGTTAAAGAGTCCCATCGGATCTTAAACTAATGGATGGGAGGTTAAATATTTGCATTTCAAGTTGTGAAGACATTATCTACAATTTTTGCCATTTCTCAAGATACAAGCACGAAATTGCTTCATTTTCCTGAGGCTTCAAAATGAAAAGCAAGCAACAATCCTGGGAGAGATTTAGGACCAAATATAAAAAACAAAACAAAACAGAACAAAACAAAACGAAAACCAAAAAACCTCTCCTATTTTGTATCTGAGGTTATTTCGCCTTAAAAATTGTGAAATTGATTTTTTTACTCCATGTCACTCTGTTAAACTTATCATACATTATAATGGTTCTGAAAGAGCGAATGCATTGAAAGGCGATAAGCAATAAGAGTGACTGCGAATGTAAGTTTTATCTTATATCCATGAAGTATGTTGCATTTTTATAATAGAGACAATTTTATAGCCAAGTTTTTCTTACTTAAGCAAAATGTTAGTAACATAATCCTGTTAAACTGTTCTTTTACAAAACAACCAAGAATGTGAAAGTTAGCAAGCTGGCGGTAGTTGCTGCCGGACAAGAGAAAGGGAACGGCAAATAATGTGACAAACTGACATCTTTTCAAACAGCTTTTATCTGCCTTGGATCCAAATTTGATCCAAATTTTACCTATATTGGAATTTTACTTAAAAGTGCTACGTGCAGATGATACAAAAGTAGATTTAAAGGGTCTCTAATTGTATCGGTACTCTACGTCCCCCAAATGGACTTTCGGCACATTTCCGACACTGTCAAGGAAATTAGCCAAGCAAAAGCTCATAGAAAGGAAAAGAAAAATTAAATTCGAATAAATAAATATAGGGTAGCGTGTTTTCCTAATAACGGGGAACAGCTGTACTCCTCTCGCCGGATGCAGGTGCCCCAAATAACTACGTCGTTTAGACTCGGATCGCATTAGCGACCAATGGTTTTTTACTGACTACCATAAAAAAGACCAATATGACAGAAAT